TTGCAACTGCTTGTAACTCCAGTTCCCAGGATCCAAAGAACTCTTCTGGTCTCCGAGGGCACCTGCATGTACATGGTACACATAAACCCATGTAGTTTCACACACACACACACACACACACACACACACACACACACACACCTTGCCATGCATGACTTTGAGCTCCTGATCCTCCTGTCTCTACTTCCTAAGTGCCAGAATGGCAGGTTGGCTTGTACCACCATGCCTATTTTTTTCCTGGGGATTGAGCCCAGGGCTTCACGCATACTGTGCAAACAGTATATGGAATAAGGTAAATCTCCAATTGATTTTTGTGTGTTTGTTTGTTTGTTTTTGTTTTACGAGACAGGGTTTCTCTGTATTGTTTTGGAGGCTGTTGGTTCAGCTCGGCCTTGAACTCACAGAGATCCACCTGCCTCTGCCTCCCGAGTGCGGGGATTAAAGGCGTGCTCCACCACCTCCCGGCGATTTTTGTGTTTTTTGAGACAGGGTTTTTCTATATAGCCCAGGCTGTCCTTGAACTCCTGACAATTCTCCTGCTTCAGCCCCTCTGTACCCCCTACCCCCCAAGTCCTGGGATCACAGGTGTGCATCATTGTATCTGGTTCTTTTATTGTTACTATTTTGTGAGACAGGGTCTCATTAGGTAATCTTTACCGACCTGAAACTTGCTCTGTAGACCAGGGTAGCCTCCAACTAACAGAGATCTCCCTGCCTCTGCCTCCTGAGTGCTGGGATGAAAGGCTCATTGTTTGATAGAGAGTCCTGGGCTGCCAGTGAACATTTCTTAGCACAGTGTCCCGTGATGCGCCCTGGAAGTCAGTCATTCATCTCAGATGTGCTTGGTAGAGGACATATCCAGCCCTCCCCAGTCACTGAACACCACTAACCATTCCCCGCTGGACTGCGACATGGTCTGGATAGTGTTTGACTGGCAGACTGTTGTCTGTGCATTTCACTGACCTGTCAGTCATCCTTGGACCCTGGCGCACAATTTGGGAGAAGTCCCTCCCACCTCCCCCACCCCCGTGACCCCCATTAGACTGCAGTTCTAGCCTTGGAGATTTTGACATGGCATTCTGCCTCTTTGTTCCCAGTGGCTGCTGTGAACCCACTGTAACTGGTACCTGAAATCTCTGTCCGCTTGGTATCACTCTCTTGTCAGCATGCGGAGGCCCAAGGCTCCTCCAAAGTGGATAGAAAAGTTCCGAAATCCTGGGTTATTAGCATGTTCCCATTTTTCTTTTTAAGGCAGTTTGATGGTAATATCTTTCCAGGTCACGGAGCTTTTCAAATGTGTCAACTACAGTCATGTGTCTTTTTCTTAGAATGTTCAGCACACACCTCGTTTCGCCGTCTTAAGAAAACGTTCGGATTTATCCCTTAGAGGGTTGGTTTTCTTCCTCGAGGAACAGACTTTGGACTTAGGTAACCTTAGCAGGTCTTCTGTTTTCCTTGGCAGCCATTTTTCTAATGAACAGTGGTCTGAATGGATCCTGCTGACCCCACGGTCCCTAAGCTTGTCCTTCTTGCCCAAGGGGCCTGTTACTGACATTTGCATAATTGCAGTTATGCTTTCTGTTGATTTGAGTTTTCACTCCACCCGGTTTCCTCCCCTTGCCAGTCAGTGATCTGTCACTAAAGTCTCTTTACAGGAGCATTAACACCTGGGTAATCTCAAGAGCCATTTTACACGGTGCAAAGTTTCTGTCTGACTTGCCACCTCCGATTTCTTTGATTTTTTTTTAAAGTACCAGTTGTCTCCAGAGTAGGCTGCTGCTGTAGTCACGCACACTTGTCCCATGCCTCCACTCATCCGCTGGGGGGGGGGCGTTTGCCCTGCAGGCACAGCCATTGCTAACCTCAGTCTGTGAGAGCACACAGCAGCCCCTGTAAGTGGGTCTTTTCTTCTATTCCGTTCATGCAATGCACCGGCCTCTCACAGGACAAGGGCCTGGTGAGGAGGCGAATGCTTCCTGTTATGATTCACTGTTTGCAACCATGCTGGTGACTCTAGAGAGCTCAGGCTGTGGTGAGGGGAAAAGGCAAGGGGGCCTGTCCTTGAACAGGTGGCCTTGTCCTGGGAGCTTGCTGAGGGTGAGTGGGGCCTCCAAGGGGCCCATTGTTCAGTAGAGCCCAGTGATGGGACTTAAGTGCTTTGCCTGGTAGGCTGCCAAGGACTGACAGTCTGTTTCCCAGTGTCCTCACAGTGACAGTCAAGGCTCCCAGTGTGCTAGGTGGCAAGCATCCTACTCATGTACTTGACCGTATCCTTGTCACTCATGACATTCCTACAGGGATGCCATATATATATTTTAGATTTATTTATTTATTATGTATACAATGTTCTGTCTGCATTATGTCCCTGCATGCCAGAAGAGAGCACCAGATCTCATTACAGATGGTTGTAAGCCACCATATGGTTGCTGGGAACTGAACTCAGGACCCCTGGAAGAGCAGTCGGTGCTCTTAAACTCTGAGCCATCTCTCCAGCCAGGGATGCCATATCTTTAGCCTAGCCCTATCTGGGCTGGGTGTCCAGCCTAGGCAGTGGTACCTCCCCCTGTATTGATTCTGGTCCTTGAGGTAGATGATGGTCCAGGGACATTAGGCCATCACAGCAACACGGTGGTTGAGAAAACAGCAAATAACGAGGAGTTTAGTATTCTGAGACAGTGTCTCTCGCTGACCTGCAGCTTGCTGATTAGGCTAAGCTGGTCTGCAGCCTCTGCTTCTACCTCCCCAGTGCTGGGCCCCGGGGATTTGAACTCACGTCTCCATGCTTGCTTAGCAAGCGCTTTATTGATGAAGCCGTCTCCCCAGTCCTGTCTGCTGAGAATTTTTAGTAAGCCTTCCAGAAAGGCCTTAGGTACAGTTCTAAGGGGGCAACCTCTAGTTTCGGTGCCCCAGCTTCTTAGTCCTGTCCCTGCCCCCAGTCTGTGATTTGTGCTGGTGACACGCCCCTCCCCCAACAGGGCCCCATCCCGAGATTGGCCTTAGGGGTTCAGAGTGTGGGAGGAGTGGCCTCTTTGAGAGGTCTCCCTGAGGCTTGCTGTTCTGAATCCTATTTACAGGTCTCACCTGTTTTTTCTGGGTTCTCATTCTCTGAGAGGAACTGGAGGAGGGAGGAAGCCCCAGGCTTGGGCTTCAAGTGTCATGGAAAACGCATTCCTTATCATGCGCCTCTCTGCTGTCACAGAGAACATTTGAGTGTGGCTTTCCATTAAGTTCCTCTGCTAGCTAGAAGCCCGTCTTTTCTGTTCCCATTTATTGCCACAGTCTGCCATGTTCTCTCAGGGAAATAAGGTTCAGTGGAAGCTGCCTGGAGTTTATCAAATGCATATAAACAGCAGGGTGTGGTGTGTGTGTGTGTGTGTGTGTGTGTGTGTGTGTGTGTGTGTGTATCTATGTGTGTCTGTGTGTGTTTGTGTCTGTGTGCCTCTGTGTGTGTGTCTCTGTGTGTGTCTGTATGTGTGTCATTGTTTGTGTGTGTGTTTGTGTCTGTGTATCTGTCTGTGTGTGTGTGTGTATGTGTCTGTGTAATGACCTCTAAGGACCCTACTCCAGAACTACTTCAGATTTTGTAGGGTGAAAGAGGAAGGTTGTTGGTGGTAAGTAAATGACTTACACAACAGCTCACTGGCAGCGATCGAAGTGCCAGTCTCCCCTTTAGTAGGTAGATGGGACCCTGATGGAGCCTTCTGTGAAGGGGGAGAGTGAGCAGCTGACCGATAACCGGGGCTCTTCCATGGAAATTGCTCTAGCTCAAATGTTCTCAGGCTGTGTTTTGGGAAATGGAACTGGACCTTAGCAGACATCCATCTCAGCTGCATGTTCTCAGGCTCTGTCCTCAGGGATGTGGATGATTTCCAGGTTTGGTCTCCAGTGGTGTTGGGATGGGGGACTCCCCAGGCTCCATTTTCAGTGGCATGGGAAGAATTCCAGGCAGAGGGGCTTCTATGAGCCCCTCATTTAACTGCATCTGGGTCGCAGGAACAGGCTGCCCAGAGTGAGGCGTGGGCTCCCTGCAGGCGAGGTGTCCGTCCTCACAGAGTGCTGAAGGCCGTTGCTCTTCTGGGCAGATGCCTTGCAGCAGGGTTTCAGCATCTGTTCTCCATCGGGCAACTCAACTCTGTGGCTGTGAGCTTTTAGCTAATTTTAGTCTGTCTGGATGGTGGCTCACATCTGTGACATCTACGCTCAGGAGGCTCAGGCGAGGGGTTGCTGGGAGTGCGAGGCTCAGAGTGACATCTATCTTTGTTGCTACCGGGGAGCACACTTTCTCCTCTTCTCTGCTGCTGCTGTTTGGAGACAAGGTCTCAGCTTTGCTGCGTGTCTTTGTTATGTGTGTCTGTGCAGTAGTCGTATGGTACTGGTTATCTACAGGCGTGCTTACTATCCTGACACGAGTCTATTCTATAACACCTTGTTAGCGCCTATGTAATGCCATGCCAGTTTTGAGTCATGGTCTATGGTAAAAACATCCCATACCTGTTCAGCCTCTCAAGTGTGGGGATGACAGACATGAGCCATTCCCCCAGTCTACGAGTATCTAAGAGATCACAGCTGCAAAAATTGAGTTGCTCAAGAAGGAACTGCTTGCTGAGAGCCTGCCACTGGGTATCTGTCCATGAGCAGTGACAACCCTTAGGGCTCTGGGAAGACACCTTGTCTGCAGGGAACCCACACCCTGCTGTTTGGACAGCCTGTTTCTGTACATGGAGCTTTGCAACCTTCCCGGACTCTCTGTGTTAGTCACTTTTCTGTCACGATCTCTCTCCTCTGTCATGGCATTTATCCAAGGTGAGGGGCACAGATCCATCTGCCCCACCTTGCATTCCCTGGAGCACAGGTCACGGCTTAGGGAAGGAATTACGGGGATGTGGCAGGTCTGTCCACTACCGGGTTTGCGGGACCTATCTTAACTTCTTTGGGTACTTCTGCTATTGAGACCCAATTTGGTTAAGACGCGATTAATGGAATTTATCTTCTCTCACTAGAGCATGAAGAAGAGCTGGGCCAAGAGTTTGAGCTGGAGAGGGACGCCCTGTTTGGAGGAATGAAGAAGGTACGGGGGTGGATAATGACCAGCCTTTTTGGTGTTTAATAAAACTGCCAGTGTTTTTGCCTTGCTTTGTGTGAGGAAGAGCGCTCGGCGGCAGTCTGGAGCTGCGGGCCTTTGCTGTTGAGAAGTTAGAGCGTGCGTGTGTTGGACGAGGTTTCTGACTTGTGTTGTCTTCTTTTCTGGAAGTGCTTGGCCACCAACTCTTCTTACACTAGAGAGATGCCGCCTTTCCCCTTTGCCCCCGTCACAGCCTCTGTCTTAGTCAGTGTTCTGCCGCTGTGAGGAGACACCATGGCCAGGGCAATTCTTACAGAGGGAGGTGCTTAACTAGGGGCTTGCTGGCAGGCTCAGGGGTTAGTCTATTATCATCCTGGCAGGATCCTCGGTTGCTGGAGAAGTCACCGAGACCTCTACATCCTGATCCAAAGGCAGAGAGAAAGACCCTGTGCTCGGCTTGGACTTCTGAAACCTCAAAGCCCAGCCCCAGGGACACACCTCCTCCAACAAGGCCACACCTCCCAATCCTTCTCAAATAGTGCCACTCGTGACGACCAATTGTTCAGATATATGAGCTTATGGAGGCCATTCTTACTCAAACCGCCGCACCTCCTTCCCTAACAGGACCTCATGTCAATGTTGACGTGGACGTGGGAGACTCAGGGCAAGCTGATGGTGGGGTTCAAGCCAAAGCCCCATCTGAGTGGTGTAGTCATCTTCCTGTGTTCAGTGTTTAAGTGTTCAAAGTGCTGAAGTGTGTGCACAGTGTTTAAGGAATGTCACCAGGCACTTCTTCCACTTTGCTCCCTGAATGTAGCTGCTCTCCTGGGCTGGTTTGGGGCATTACATGGCACTTCACCTTCTGAATTCCCCATTTCCCTACAAATGCTGGGAGGAAGTCATTTCCACGGGCTGCTGTCTGCCTTGTCCTGTACCCAGCTCCCACTCTGGCCGTGCAGAGGCCAGGTGTCGGATGCCAGGCTGGCGTTTGCCTCGGCCTGTGTGGGGTGTCCCTTTCTGGTGTTTGTTGTCCTACCCACTGGACATTTCCATGAAAATCCAGATATGGACGGCAGAGACAGCTCAGTCAGTAAGTGCTTGTCATACAGGCACGAGGACGTGAGTCGATTCCTTAGAGCCTATGAGCAAAGGTGGCTCAGCATGTAAGGGCATTAGCTGCCAAGCCTCATGACCCCAGTTCAGGCCCAAGAACCCACGCAAGACAAAACAAAGAAAAACCTGGCTCCTACAAGCTGTCCTCTGACCTCTACATATGTGCTATGGTGTATACACACACACACTCACACACACACACATACACACATGTTCACTGGACTTGCATCTGCGGCACCTCTTCTAGATGCTTACACATCGTGGCAGCTCTTGTTAGAGCCATTAATGAGATTATAGGATCAGTAGCTTGTGCAGCTTAAAAGACGAGGGGCCTGGGGAGTAAAATTTTGTCCCAGTGGGATGTGAGAAGTCAAAGAGAGGTTGCCCTGTGGCTCACTTTGGATCACAGCGTGACTGCGTCTGTTTACAAAAGCATCACGGGCATTTCACATGACACAGAGCCCTTTGCTGGAGGCAGAAATGAGCAGACGTACCTCTGAGCAGGTGGCTCAGCGGAAGAGCAGTGTAAGGAGATGAATTCAGGGTCAGGCACGGACAGGTTTCGAAGGGAACACAGGCTTTGTCGTCGGGACCAAGCTCAGCCCCGTGGTATGTTGCTATTTCTAGATGAAGGGGCTTTGCCCCCACAGCTTCCCTGGTTCCCACCATTCCATCAGGTCCTGCCAAGGCTCTAGCTAGGGTCTGGCTCCTGACAGCTCTCATAACGAGGTCATTATGGGGTACATGTATGTAAAACCCTGGCCTTGGCGGATTCCTCGGTGCTCAGAGTCACCCCATGGAACCACCCGACAGCCATTCCTTTAACTTTCCGTCCTTCCGTGGCCGGTCACATTGCGCATCATGTAGGTGGCTTGGAGTCCTAGAGTTAGGGAGAAAAAAATTGAGGCCTGGTAAGTTTCCAGAAGACAAAGGAGGTGAACACTTGTCGTTAGCACATGGGTCCCTTGCTGAACACCTCCCTGCCTGAAAGCTACAACACATGCCAAACAAACATTGACCGTAAGCCAAACAAACGTTGGCCATAAGAAGGTCTTAGGGCTTGTCATGATGGCATATGGCTGAAACTAGCTATGGTCTCAATGGACGGAATGGTTCTTGAAGAAAGGCTTATGACCCTACATAATATCTAAGTAGTAAGCTGGATACTCAAGTCTTACTTTTAGGACCAAAAAGATCAGCCTTGCTATAGAGCAAGGCCTTCAAAAAATTAAGGTTTACTCAGGTTTGTTCCTCTCCACGGAAATCTTTAGTAAAAGGCGAAAGATTTATACGATCTGAAGAGAAACTAGAGTGTGCCTCAGTGGCCTTTCGCTGTGTTTGTTGGTAAATGCAGCTCCTAGCACATTGATGGTGACTTTTTCAGCCCCAGAAACTTTAACCACCTTGTTCATAAAGCCAACCAAGTTGTTTTAGATGGAGATGCCGGGTGGAAAAATATGTATACATTATAGGAATTTTAAACTTCCAAGATTCTATACGTGCAAGGGATTGTGGGTATGCAAATGAGGAGCCTGGCTCACGGGGCTTGGAGGTTGCACAAATGACTGGTTCACAGCAAACCTCCCGGCAACCGCTAGGGGGCAGAGCGGAGGGAGGTCTTGGGTTTACTGGTTCAGCCGCAGGAACCTGCTTGCATTTCTTGTGATTATGGGGACCTTGGGTGGGATTTCTGTTTCTTTTCTATAAAGCCTACTCATTTAGGAGTGATGATACACCTAGAAGTTGCAGCAATAGCAAAGCTTACTGGGGAGTTCATGCCTCTATAGAGGAGAACTCTGTAAACCAGGGAACCCAGCGAGATCCTCGCAGCTGGTGTGACAGCCGCAACCTAGGCACAGACGCGTGAGGAACTGCTTTAGACTTTCCTTCCTAGACGGTGTCTGACCACCTCAGACTCGCAGACTCACTCTCCAGCCCGGGTTGGCTTCTATCTAGCTCATGGAGTCTCCTCGCCTCAGCCTCCCAGATGCTGGGATTGCAGGCATGTATTGGACGACTTTCGGAGCGGAAACCAACTTCTCTGGACGTAAGGGCCCGAGTGAGAGGCTGCGACCCCCAAAGGACTGGAGATGTTTGTTTTCTTCGTGTTAGAGGAGGCACTGTCTCTTTGATAATACATTATGACATGAAAATCAACAGCACTTTTTTTTTCTCCCTGAGACAGTGTTTCTCTGTGTAGCCTTGGCTGCTCTGAAACTTACTCTGTAAACTAGGCTGACCTTGAACTCGCAGATCTCCGCCTGCCTTCTGAGTGCTGGGACTAAAGCCGTGCATCACCACCGCCCGGCTCAACAGCATGAGTTTGTGTAATATGATCTTTGTCATTCTTTTTTTTTTCTTTTTAAAGATTTACTTATTTATTACGAATACAACATCCTGCCTCCATGAACATCTACACATCAGAAGAGGGCACCAGATCTCATTATGGATGGTTGTGAGCCACCGTGTGGTTGCTGGGAATTCAACTCAGGACCTCTGGAAGAGCAGTCAGTGTTCTTTTTTTTTTTTTTTTTTTTTTTGGTTTTTCAAGACAGGGTTTCTCTGTATTGTTTTGGAGGCTGTTGGTCCAGCCCAGCCTCGAACTCACAAGAGATCCGCCTGCCTCTCTGCCTCCCGAGTGCTGGGATTAAAGGCATGCGCCACCACTGCCCGGCCTCAGCCAGTGTTCTTAACTGCTGAGCCATCTCTCCAGCCCGATCTTTGTCATTCTTACTGTGTTTCTATTTTTTTCTTTTCTTTTCTCCTTCTCCTTCTTCTTTTTTTCTTTTTGAGACAGAATCTCATGCAGCCCAGGATGGCCTCAAGTTCGCCATGTAGCCGAGGAAGTCCGTAAGCTTCGGATCCTTTGCCTGTGTTCCCTAGGGCAGCGGTTCTCTGCCTTCTTCGTGTTGCGACCCTTTGCTACAGTTCCCCAACCATAAAATTATTTTCATTGCTACCTAAAGTTTGCCGCTGCTACGAATTGTAATGTAACCCGAGGCCCACAGGTTGAGAACCGCATCACCACCCCAGCTGTCTTAAAATGACATATTTTGGGTCGTGATTCCCAACTTTTGTATCAGTGTCATTCGTGTCTTAGACTTAACAATTCCTCTCTCCAAATGCCCTGGAGAAAACGTGGTCAGTGGAAAGAGTGTGTGTGCGTGTGTGTGCGAGCGCGCGTGCGTGCATACATGCGTGCATGTGTGTGTGTGTGTGTGTAATGCCTTCTCTCTGGGTCACACTCATGGCACGGTCCCTCTGGTAATGCCACCTCTCGTTCTTCCCGTCTAGGACCTGACTGACTTCGAGTGGAACTTCTGGCTAGGATGGGGGAGGCGGAGGCTGGCGTGGCTCTTCCTTGGCCATGCAGCTGTGTCTCAGCTGGCCGGATTGCTCGCAAAGAAGGTACGCGTGAGTCCATTTGTCATATTCTTTTAAGCCCCTTTCTCCTTTGGGTTTGGCGAAGAGGCCTTAAGCTGTGTGAATCAGGAAACAGGGCTCTCAATGGGGAAGCCTGGGACCATTGTTAGCCAAAACGACACTTTAGTGGAAGATGTCTTTCCATCTCGGCCTTCGTGGACTTCCTTCAAATTATTTCCTAAAGCCATCGAATACAAAGGTTTCAGGGTGAACAGACCTTAGCTGATAGACTGGAACAGTGAAGACCTGCTTGGGAGAACATGCCTGGCCTCACCCACAGTTCAGAAGAGAGTGGGAGATAATGTTGTTAAGAAGTGGACACAAGTGGATACCAGACATAAAGCAAAAGATACCCAGCCTGCAATCCACAACCCCAGAGGTGCTAGAACCCTCTTCCAGAAACAGATGGAAGCAGATGCAGAAATCCACCACTAACCAATGGGCAGAGCTCCTGGAGTACAATCGATGTGAGAGAAGATCGATAATATGAACAAAGGAGTCAAGACCATGATGGGGAAACCCACAGAATCAGCTGACCCGAGCCAGTGAGAGATCAGACAAACTGGGAACCTGCATAAGAGTGAACTAGACTCCCTTAATGTAGACAGTGGCGTGACTAGGACAATATATGAGGCCTCTGGCAGTAGGTCCAAGATCTAACTCTAATGCACAAACTGACTTAGTGGAGCCCATTCTATATGGAGAGATCCTTGCCCAGCCTAGACACAGGGGTGTAGGGGTGGGAAGGTGCCTTGGTTCTGCCTCAACTAGATGATGGGACAGACTTAGTAGACTTCCTAGGGGGAGGCCTTACCCTCTCTGAGGAGCAGATGGAGGGGAGGGGAATGGGGGGGGAGCGGGAAGAAAGCATGGAGGGGGAGCTAGAGTTGGAATGTGAAAATAAATTAACATAAAAATGTGATCAAGAAGAAGGGAGACAAATGATCTGGAGAGATGACTCGCAGTCAAGAGCACTGGCTGCTTTCCCAAAGGACCTGGGTTCTGTTTCCAGAACCCACACGGCGCTTTGCCGTTTTATGTGAGCTTGACACAAACAAGAGCCACCTGAGAGGAGGCAGTCACTTCTGGCCTCTGAGCCTGTGTCCTCCCTCGGGGCTGCAGTGGAGATGGCCTCTGGGGAGTGAAGGCCAAGTAGTGCTTTCCTGGGTCATGACTGCAGGTGGGCAGAGCCAAGGACCTGGTGGCGGCTCCCCTTGTCCTCTGGCTCCTGGGAGTTTTCTATGTGGTATTGAAGAAGTGAGTCAGGCTGGGTGCAGCTCGGTCGCAGAGATGTATTTGTGTGGGGGCCTGGGCTCAGTCCCTTGCACTGGAGCAAGAAGGGAGGTGCCGACAGGTCCCACAGTCGTGGAGGACGGAGGCCGGGTCTGGGCGTGTGACAGCGTGCTTCTGAACTGCCCTGGGCGCAGGACTGGGAGCTAGGCTGCTTTCGTGGTGTGTGTGTGTGGTGTGTGGTGTGTGTGTGTGTGTGTGTGTGTGTCCGTGCTGGGGAGGAGGAGGAGGCATCTCGAGAGCTGAGTCATCTCCCTGTGTGTCTCACCCTTGTGTGACCAAGGCTGGACTGTGGGTGAGGCAGCTGCCTGGCAGATCTGCTTGCGGCTGGGCCACAGTTGCTCCTTTGTCCGTCGGCTTGGCTCTTCTGTGAGTCTGGGCCGCAACCTTGACCTCCTTGGTCCCAGCCTCTCGCCACCTGGACCCAGTGCTCCTCAAGGCCTTCACTGGCAGAGTTGGGTTTTGGTGCCTTTTCAGGGTGGAGGATTTGGGCTGCCTCTGCGTCTGCTTTGTGGTCCTGGGGGGGGGGGGGGTTGTGGGAGTTTTGAAGCTGGGCAGTGCAGTTGGGGGTGGGGGGGTGGGGGGTGGGGCGGGGCAGGCATCTGTTGGCTTCTGGTGATAGCCCTGACTCCTGAAGAATGCTTCCCACCTCCACCCAGGGTGGCCACCACCTCCTAACGAGGGCAAGGCTGCTTCCAGGAGCATAGTCCTCCCTCCTCCTCCTCTTCCTCCCCCTCCTCCTCCCTTGAGCCCCTTGGCTGAGATTAAATACCTTCCCTCCAGGTCAGCCCCTCTCTGGGTTTCTTCCAGGCTCTGGAAGGAGACGGAAGGAGGCTGAGTAACGGCTGCGCTCCTGCTGCGGGTCTGTTACGGTTGGACATTGGGGAAGCAGGTCACAGTTGCCTCCATTCTCTAACGCCTCTGTGGCTTCCCGCCACCCGAGACACCGTGTGCTCTGCCCTCAGAACTAAAATGACTCTGTAGGAGGTCGGAGAAGGCCGTCCTGCTGTGGGTCTCTGTGCTTTCCTTGGTGTGGGCTGGCTCGGGAATGACAACATGGTTAGTCGTGGCCCCATGGCTCAGGACCTCACTGCAGGGTGTGCGCAGGCTGAGCAGCTTGGTCCTCTGGGGTTGGCCCTTCGTGGGGTGAGCGGCCTCTCCCCATAAGTCAGATAGATAGAACCGCGCGCACTGATGCTTCTCCTGGAACCCGCTCTACTCCCTCAATTAGCGCTGGTCTAAGTGAGATGAGGCTTCCTGGATAAGGGCCCACTGCCCATTATTCCCACGAAGAGCCGGGTGGGGTGCTCCGTCTGGACCCGGATGGGGGCAGACTGCTTTTTCTTCTTTCGGGGAGACTTCATACATGTGTATACTTTTCTTACGAAATATAAATTTATATTTACTTATTTCAGTACTTAACTGCAGTCGACGTAAAACGTAACAAGCACGTCCCCCTCTTCACTTCTCCAACGGTGCTTCACTGAGTGGTTTCTTGGCAGATGTGGCCAGGGGGAGCGCTGCCCCAAGCTTTGAGCTCTCACTGTCCCACACAGACAGAAGCACACAAGGGAATCTGAGGCACATCTGGCTACCACTTCGTGCCAGGCTGCTGTGGACTGGTGGGCGTGAGCAAAAGCAGCTGGCAGGCCATGAGCTGTGGGGTGATGCCTTGGTCTGCACTGGTGGGGAAGAAAGCCTTTCTAGAGAGGAAGGTGGAATGCGAGGCGTGGAAGATGGTAGACTTCTGCTTAGTGGGTCAAAGTGCTGCTGGCTTTGCCTTCTGTCGAGTTAAATCTGAAGACTTGGGAAGCTTACCCACCCACCTATCTATATATTACCACATTCATCTGTTTTTATGCGTTCACCTCCCCACCACCCATCTGTCCATCCATCCATCCATCCATCCATCCATCCATCCATTGATTCACCCATCTATCCATCCATCCATCTATCCATCCATCAGTCATCCCCCATCCATCCATCCACCATCCACCATCCATTCATCATCTACCCACTTTATCCATTTCATTGATCTGTTTGCACCCACCCATCCATTTACTCAGCCACCCATCCATCTACCTGATGGGGTTGTCCTTCTGTACATATTTTCTCTTATTGGTTGATGAATAAAACACTGTTGGCCAACAGGGCAGCAAGATAGGTGGGACTAGGATGTGAGGAGGATTCTGGGAAATGTAGGAAGGCTGTCGACATGTAGGACGCCAGAGGAGTAACACCATGCTGGGCATTACTGGGTAAGCCACAGCCTTGTGGCAATACATAGATTGATAGAAATGGTTTAATAACTAAGACAGAGCTAGCCAATAAGAAGCCCTAGCCAACAGCCAACAGTTTCATAATTAATATAGCATCCATGTACTTCTTTGGGGGGCTCTGAGGTGACTGTGGAACCAGGCTGGAAACACCGCAACATCTACCAACCCTATTTATCTGTCCATGCACCCCTTGCCATCTGCATACCCATATCATACCCACCACCCACCCACTCGTCCATTTTTCCATCTGCCCACCCATCTTCTACCACCGCCCACCCATCCATTTTTCTGCCAATCCCCACACACTTTCTCCAACCATTTTTACCCACCCTAACTTATGCGCTCACCAACCCCTTTCTATTCTCTCATCTATACATTTGTCCATTCACCCACATCCATCTACCCACCCTCCCACCCAATGACCTCACCCACCAACAACTACCCATCCTCCCACCTACCCACCCCTTCCTTTCTCCCACTCAGCCATTTGCTCTGCCATTTTAGTATTTGTTTGCACTGGGTGCCGGGGTAGATTCTGGTTTGCATTCGTGCCATTTGGACAGAAAGGGTTTCAGCTTACTCAGGAAGACTACCCGCTGGGGAACTGGTCGTGTTCCATCCTGAGAAGTGGTTCAGCCCAGCTTGCAGTGGAACATGCCCTGGTGTCCGCTTGCCTCCGTTTTCTGTGACGCGCATTGCATGCCACCCGAGAGGCCGCGGCGCTCTCTGTCTGGCTTCAGCTCTGTTTGTTACAAAAGTCCTGTTTTTTTTTTTTTTTGGTTGTTTGTTTTTGTTTTTGCTTGTTTGAGTTGTTGTTTTTTTTGTAACATCTTGAAGTTTTGAAAATTTCCCATTTTACTTCTCGTCTGTCAAAAACTGGAAGCCTTGGAATCCAGAGAGCTAAGTGGGAGTCGTTGTTTGCTCCCCATAGAGTTCTCCCAGCGCATCTAATCAAATGTCACATCACTCGGGCTCTTCTCCCTGTTGTTGGAGAACAATGAGGCAGCACTTTCTGGAAAGGCTCTGCCGAAACATGGGAACCGCGCAGATGCTTGTGGGGTGCGGGAAGTTGGGTTCACACATGTGCCCCTGTTGGTGATGGACGGAGGCAGACCAGAAAGCTGTTTGTACTGCTAGATGTGTAAGTGGCAACAAGAAGCAATTTTTAACACTGAAAACCAGTAGAGATGTGTTGACCAGGTTTACTTGGCATAACCCTAACTCCAAACATCGGAGATGACCTTCAGCTGGGACACAGTTAAGCGAACCGTGGCTGTCCGCACCATGGGAAACACTGCGAAGAGTGAGCTTGGTGATGCCGTGGAAACCGCTGTGGTAATGAGTGAGCATCCTGGTGCCATGGCAACTTACTTGACTCTTTGGCAGCATGCTGCATGACTTCTAGGAAATGAAGAG